TTTTTTTTTTTTTTTTTTTTTTTTTTTTTTTTTTTTTGGAGTGGGGGGTGGGGTGGGGTGTGTTGTGTTGGAGGATTTTTTTTCATTTAGCTATAGTAAAAAGCCTCCGCTGTATTACTAACCAGGGACACTGTTAATGCATACAGTGCTGATGATTTCCTCCCCTACAGCAGCTCGTGTTCCAGCATAGGAAATACCAGACTGACTTCAGATGACACTACAAATTGCTGGGGGGGGGGGAGCTCCTGTGTGGAACCCCCTCAAAAAGGACCCACAAGCCAACTTGCAATGGCTCACTCCCATCGCAGATAGATCTACAACCACCCTGTGGGTTTTAAAACTCTAAAGGTTGGAAGAAAATAGCCCTGGTCTGAGTAAATACAGCACAATTCCTTTCATTTTTCAAAATGCTCTGTGTTATTGTTGGCGAGGCAAGGGAGCTTCACATGCTCAAAGCATTCGATATGCTCTGGTATTTGTCAGATTAAACTGATCCAAAAGGTTTCAAGTCAGCTCTGGAAAGTTATAAAAATAATAAATAAAAAAAATCACAAGCTTTGGCATGCCTTCCCACCAAGGAGGGGAAATGAATTAACTTTTCCTGCAAGCCTTACTCACACCAAGCCAACAGTACACATTACTACAGGGGTGCTGAATCCCTCTTCTCTTTCTTTCCTCCACTCATCCTACATTCTCTTTTTTTCTTACATCTAAAGAGGCAGATGGGAAAAAAAAAAAACAAAACAGATTACAAATAGATCCAAGAGCTCAGCCTCATGTCACAACACCTGCAGCCTGCCCACAGCCCCCCCCAATAAATCTGATGTGTATTTTATCTGCATTTTAAGTCCTTGCACTCATATAGTAAGTCTTGTTTCGTCTGCTGAATGATGAAGCCAAGAAGAAACAAAGTTGTGAAGCTTTTCAGATGTTCTGAGGTAACTGGAATAATGCGTAAAGCAGATTCAACTGTATGAATAGTCTTTCACAATGTATTTATAATTATAATCAGAAGTTTCAAATATCCTCCCCTCCTGCACAACATCCCCAGGGAAATACATTCCAGGGTAAAACATTCATAAATTACTTACTGCGTGTCTTCTGAAGATTCCTGTTTTATCTTTAATGTTCTTTTTGTGGTAGGCATTTCATCTGAAAGGTAAAATTCCAACACATAATTATATTTTAAATAATGTTCCCGGGGCCTTTTTTTTTTTTTTTAAGGCTGAAATTAAAAAACTTAAGAGTTGCTTCCTAAGCCAGTCAGTCCATTAGAGTTCTGCACAAGACAGCTCCAGTTCCTAAATCCTCCATAACTGAATAGTATTTTTTTTTCATTGGAGGAGACGTGGTCAGTTAAGATCTGAACCTATCTCTGCAAGTGCAAAACCTTTCAAGGACAAGACTACAATTCCTGCTATTAAATCACAAATCAATTTAATTGCAAACTGCATTGTTTAATAAAAAAAAAAAAAAGAAAAAAGGCTATTCTGCTTTCAATGGCACATTTGAAGAGCAAGCACCAGAACAAATGCATCTGTATTCCATTTAGATGTTGCGTGCTAAGTGCTTTTCTCATAACTTCTCTGAACATTAAGAATATTGTCAGCCCAAATGCACACAAATGTCTCTGATTTGACTGAAGGAAAACGGTGACAAACCAGGAGACCAGAGTTTGACTCACCAGAATGAGTCAAACTAGATAGAATTAGCCATCGTTTACATACGTTTTGTAATGTCTTTTCCCCACCATTTCTCTCCCACGTATTTCTGACTTTTAAATCCCCTGGGGAAGAAGTCTGAGAGAACCAGAACGTGGTTAACAGCCAGCTTGCAAATTTTAACACTAAACGGTGATTTAAGCCTCTTTCAAAGCATCCTAATTCACCAGTCCCCTGAACACAGTTGTGCACTGATAAGTGACTGTCTCTCCTCTCCCTGTTTCATGCTACAAATCATGAGGGGAAGGGGGAGAAAAAAAAACCTCATGGCACCAAGAGCCTTTATCCCATTTGCCTTCCAATACAGTTTCTCTTGGGTCTCTGCTGAATTTGATCAACAAAGATTCAGCTGTGAAAATAACCCCCTTGCTCAGGCAAGGGAGGAACACGCACCTGTAAGATCAGTGGCTCAAGAGGTATAAATATGGTTAAAGAAACCCACTTCACAAAACTGCTCGGATCAGTGTGCATTTTCAATCAAGTATGTAGTATCTTGCTCCGTTTAACAATGTTCAATAAGCCACGAGCAACAACCAAATCTCCAGATTAATTAATATATTTACTATTATGCAGACACACCAATAATTCAGGCAAGCAAAGCGTGCAGAGGAGTTCAGTTCAGGTCTCAATCCTGGAGTGCTGAGCTTGATTGGCTTTTTTTTATTTTGAAAAAGGCTACACATCTGGATATAAACATATTTACAAGTTTAAAACAAACAAACCAGTTAGGGTATACAGGAAGGAGCAACATTTATTTTATACACATTAATAGTAATAATTTGAAGTTCTGTTCATAATTTAAGCGAATGGTGTTTCAACAGTAACTCAGAGATTCAGCTGGTGCCCAAGAACCTCCAAAGCTGGGTACCACTGAAAGGGAAAACATCTCCCCAATACCACAAGGGGAAGTAGAACTGAGCAGGGGAAGCAGAGATAGAGAACATGTCATCTTTCTGGAGCCTTCTTTCACACAGCCCCTTCCTTCCCTCTGCTCTTTAAACTCAAGCCCCCATCCTAAAATATTTCAGGAACCATGGTTTGCCTTTGATGATGAATTGAGGAATTTCTTTCCCTTTTCTCCCTAAGGACATCAAGTGTTTAGTATCTTGAGCATCATGTCTGACACATGAAAGCTGGTACCAAGATGTGCAGGATGGGTATGAGCACAGGTAAAAATCAGAGTAGAGATTACAGAATCACAAGAGTCACTCAGGTTGAAAAAGCCCCTCGGGATCATCGAGTCCAACCCTCAGCCCAACCTAACAAACTTCTCCCCTACCCCACATCCCCCACAGCTCATCCCAACGGCCCTTAAACCCCCCCAGGGATGGGGACTCCCCCCTCCCTGGGCAGCCTGTTCCACTCTGACCACTATGTCTGGGAAACATTTTCTCCTCCTGCCCAGCCTGACCCTCCCCTGGGGCAGTTTCCAGCCATTCCCTCTTGTCCTGTCCCTGACCCCTGGGAGCAGAGCCCAGCCCCAGCCTCTCTGCAATGTCCTGTCAGGAGCTGCAGAGAGGGATGAGGGCTCCCCTCAGCCTCCTCCTCCTCACACTGAACACTCCCAGCTCCTTCCCTGGCTCCTCACAGGATTTATTCTCCAGGCCCTTCCCCAGCCTCATTGCCCTCCTCTGCACTCGCTCCAGCACCTCTAGATCTTTCTTGTATTGAGATGCACCAAAACGGGATTTCTTACCCAATTCCTGTTCACCAGTCTGGTAGCAATGAAGATCCTGACTGTGGTTTCCCCAGTCCTCCTGTGAATACTCCTCCATGGTGCTGCCATCCGACTCCAGCTCCTGATACAAGCCACTGCTGTTGATGAGGACAGGCTGGCAGGGCTGGGAGTCCCATCCTCCCTGCCCAAAAACCTGCTCCAGCTGTTCAAACGTGTAGCTGCTTTTCCTCTTCCCAACGCCGTGCTCCTTCACGCGGCTGTAGCACCTGCGGAGGGTCTAAGACAAGAGAAAAGCACGTTCATCACATGACAATGGGCTGGAAGAGCACACATGCACTTGCAGACATTACATGGCTGCTAGACAGAGTTTAAAGGTTTTTCAGTTTTTTTTTTTTTACTTCTGCTGATCAGTATTTGTCCCACGGTCACCAGCTAAATGCAGTGTTCCCAAATTAATCTATGCCCGCCAGGAAGCATCGTACGTATCCGATGTTCCCACTGCAGCAATTTAGTGCAGCAATCTACGACACAGGATAAAGCTGCGTAGCAGCTACAGGTTCATGAGATTTAACTTGGGCAATTTATTCTCTTCCCCACTTCAAAAAAAATCCCCAGATGTTACGTAACGTAGGGAAAAAAAAAATACCAAGAGACCCCCAAAGATACCAACCAGCCAAGAAAAATGCACACCTACTACGAGGAGGAGAAAGCAGAGCTGGTGTGCCCACAGCTTGGAGAAGCTGAAGCAGGGAGGAGAGAGAAAGGAAAAGAGAAAGAAGAGTCCCCCAAAGCAAAGATGGTCCAACCTTCCTTACTCTGGTAAGAAGACACAAGGTACAAAATGTATATGCCTAAGCTATTCAGCTAGGAAAATATATATTACTTACATATTTTGCATTCCTTACTAACTCACTCTGTCTCTTGTGAAGCTGCTGAAATTTAAAAGAGGTCAAATCAATAATGCTCCAAATTCCCAGACTTTGATATCAAGCATTAAGTAAGAAACAATACTAAGATGGCTCTGTCTAATTAACCTTTAAAAACAGTGCTGAGGCCAAAACCTCCCATACAGACAGATGCAAAAACCTCGTCTACTTTGGGTGATCCCTGTAGCATCCCGCACGGATGGCGGATGGCTGTGTGACAGCAAGGCAAAGCCTACGATTTCCACATTCCTCCCCTGAGCACCATGCAACTATTTGGGGGTGTTAAATTACAAAAAAATCTTTATGTGCATCCCTCAATGTGGCTTTAATTCTACCACCACTCTATTTTTGAAAGATAATGATGTGCTCCAGGTTTGCTGGATCTTGATGGTTTTCAGATTGGTAGAGTGCTAGAAAATATATATTTTTTTCATATTAAATTTGTTAGATTGCTCAGGTTCTAGCTTGAATGGCAAAGCCACCTCTGGAGTTCAAACGAGGCATTAATTTGGAAAGAGCTAGTCCTGTTGCCTTGCTTCCTGGAAAAAGAGCGTAATGGATTTTCAAGCACACATCACTGCAAAAACCGCTCTTTTTTTCCCCCCAAAAGGCACCTTTACATCTCCAGAAAGCTTGAACCTACCTAATGTTCCTCATATAACTGGTTTAACAGCATCAGCAGGAAAGGAGTACATTTCTAACCCGTTTCCTTGTGATATTCAGAGCCCTGGGGGCAGAAGCAAAACTGCTAAGCAGCAAGTCAGTTTTACCCTGCTGTTTCAAAAAAAAAAAAAGCCAACCCCAACACACACACAAAAATAGCACAAAATAAAAAAACCCCACACCATATAAACACACAGGCAGCAATAAGACCAGAATTATTCAGCAGTTTAAGGTGGAACCCTTCCCGATTCTGCCACCAAATTGGACACCACCAAATTTTAAGTTTCTGTCTGCAAGCAGGGTGAAAAACAACTGGTTACATCAACCTGGAGCCGAGGACCCAGCCAAAAAAATCTACTGATATTCACTGCAGGCAAATTGTGTTCCTTAGGGCTGGGGGTACACACAAATTTGGTTGTTAAAATTTGGCAACAAGAACCCATTGGGAACATCTGAGGCAGTTTTAAATGGCCCAGTTTGCCCTGCTTGCCTTTCAGAGGAAAAGCACATTGGAGGATGCATTGCCCAGCTTTTTCACTTCAATTTCTCTCCTCTCAGCTCAAATCTCAGTGAGCGATACAGGCAAATTCTTGTTGCACTCCCAAACTCTTTCTAAAATTGCACACAAGTCATTTTTTTGAAATCTATTTCCTAAACCCCAGTTCCTAAATCTGCCCTGGCTTATCCATCAGCATTAGATTTAGATTTATTAACAGCCTTTAATGAAAACAAACCATCTCCAGTGTAGTTAACCAACAAACATTAATGCTCTTGGCCAAGCCCACTTGGGAACACTCAACAGCCACTTGCTGTTTTAAGTGTGTGCTTCAAAACATCCCTCCCTACCCATGGAGTTATCGAGTACCTCACACTGGGTTGTAGCCTAGTAATTATTTCATTCAGGCTGCAGGCTGGTTTATTTTACCATGAAAATAATTTAACATCAAGTCAGTGGAGACTAGTACAAGAATTAAAGGGGGCCACGTGGAAAAAAGGCAAAAATAAATGAGCAATGCTCTTGCTGCTCATTACTCTTGCAGTTTAAGAGTAATTTCGAGGTTACTGCCTACATTCTTCTGGACCTGCCTGCGTGAGACATCTTTTATTTTCACTTCTGCCAGCAGATAACCTAGCAACTGGTGGCTCCTTGGTCTTGTTTCTTGGAGAACTGGGATTGCCACTAGCTCTTTCTTCTTGAAGGCACTGCCTAGTTTCTCCAACCCTACCACTTTTCTAAGTGACATTCACCTCTGAGTACCACAGGGCAGCTCCACTGCACGGATGCCCACAGGCTTCTGCATGGCAGGTGTGAGGTGGACCAGAGCGATGGCTCTACCTCTGCAGTTGCCTGCACCTCACACAATGATTTTTTTCAGAGATCAATTGTAAGACTTAACTAATAGCTCAGACTTCAGGAAACTTCCCCTGGATGTTTTACAGCACTCAGTGGTTCAGACACCTTTCTCCCAGTAGGTTATTTTGATCGCCAAGATTTAAGATCTACGGTTTTTTTTCTTACGCACCTCCTCTACTCCTCTCGGTGTCCAGCTCAACTCCTGCTCCGTGGTTCCTAAAGTACACATACATATATTGATACAGATAGACAAGAAACCAGTAAATTTAGGACAAGTAACTGAAAACAGACCTAATAACTGTTCAGTGACTGCACAGATTGGAAAAGACCGAGCCTTTGCTTATTGTTCTGCAACACTGCCTGCAATACAAAGACAGATTATCCCCGCTTAATTTATAATTATGAAATCCAAAGAAGGGAGACAGTCAAAAAAGCTCAACGTGGGTTTTCTCACCATTTCTAACTTACGATCCCTCATCTTCTCTACAAGTGAAGTCACAGGAGAACTGATCACTCTACAGGAACTGCAGCACAACAATCCGAAAAGCCTTAGGAAGTGACTTTGAGGAAGGCTGTGGACACAGTCCTCCTCCCAGCAAAAAAATAAGATGAAGGAGAATCACACCACAGCGAGCTTTTTATATATAACCCCAGAGGTGGTCCAACACAAGAAACTCCAGATCCCTGATCCGAGACATGTTCTTTCTCAGGGAGACACTATGGGCTCTGCAGAGCAGTTAGGCTGCCTACAGGCGTGTCCACATTAATCTATTTAAGTCGATTAAATGATAGCAGCTGGCCTAAAAGGGGTCCCGATGGCACAGAGCACTACTTAGCACCACGCTCAGCTCCGGAGATGCTCTTTTACTTAATGGGAGAAAGTCTTGGCTTTACATCCTGAATTAAGAACAGCAGTACCAAATAGGTTCCTCCCTCGTCATGGCAGGATACTTACAAACAACATGAGATGAAACTACACAGGGACAAAAGAAACAGCTTTTGAAGCCTGGAGTGGTTGTAGGATATGTAGGGATGACTGGCAAAGTCTTCCTTCTTCAAGTTCATTCCTGAGCTGGATGGTGGGAGCATGAGGAAACAGAACTCCAGGACTACAGCAGTTTGACAGCTCTGCTCAACTTGCTAGCTCATGAACTTCTAGATTAAAAGATGTGTGCAAGGCAGGAGAACATAAGACTTATACAGGATATTGCCACAAGAAACCCTATTTCTGTGGTTTGTCCAGAACAAAAGGAGAAGAAAGAGCACCATAAACTCTCGAGACCGCCATACACCACTGCAGAAAGGCAACTTCAACATGTCTCCAACATAAGACACCAGGCCATAACACTCCTCTTCAAAAAACAAGCAGCCCTACACAAACTCACCCTTAAAACTTTGCAGGCACACGCTGGTTCTGCAAAGGTTCCAGTCCCACAGGTGGCTGCACATTGCAACACTCGGGGACATGCCAGAAGTCAAAATAACTAACACTTTGCGCCGAAGAGCAAAGCCTCAATCGTATCCCAACGTGCCCAAATGCACAGGGACTTTCTGAAGGATGTGGCTCCAACACAGAACAAGGAAAGCCATGGGAACATCCCAAGGGGAGATGAGTAGTGAAGGGGAGCACAGACATGTGTATCATCTGATTGAGCAAGGAACCAGAGATCTCTTTGGACAATGATCTGAAGAAGCAAAGTCATCCTAGAAGACACAGAGAAGGGATGTCAGCCAAGGCAATGCACATGTTTTTAGGTTGGGTTAGTTAGCCAGAGCTAGAACTTAACAAAAAAAACACAGTGGATTTTCCACTGTAAGCCAAAATGTGTGCACCCAGTGCTGCAGTAAAGAACACCTGCTTTCTAAAACTCCAAAATGAGTCTTAGAGAGTTCCTGCACCGGCTTTTACGGTAACACCACCACTGCCCATTTCTAAATCACAATTAATTATATTAAAAAAAAAGCTCTTGCCCGGACAGAAGTTATCTACAGAAGCACTAGAGCCAATTGCAGAGGTCAACCTAGATGAGACAGGACTTTGCCAGCAGCCAAGAGGGAACAAACCCAGGGTATAACAAGCCACAGCCCAGCTGAGTGAGGAAGCTGTGCAGTGGTATGCGGTGCTGAGAGCTGAACTTCCCTGCACCTCACGTCTCAAAATAGCCACCTGCAAAGATGCTCCATCGGTTGCTGCTGTTAGAGAGCTGAGAATAAAATTATTCATACCCTTCTCAGGGATTTGATGCTAATCGGGCTAGACACCTAGAGAGAAGAAACTCTCCAGTATTGCCCGAGGAAAGGCAGACGGCTGGGCACCTCCATCTCCCAACGGACTGAGCTTCTGGTTTAAGACAGCACTGGAGGAAAAGAAGAGTAACTAGTTAGAGCTTGAGAAGGCAGATCAGCAAAACCCTCTGCCATGCCCATACCCACCACGGCCAATCGCTTTTGGCTCTGTCAAGAGTTTAGATGGGATGGATGCGTCCTACAGGCAGAACTCAGCTGGCAGCGACACACGAGTAAGGTTCATAGAATCAGAGAATCATCTCGGTTGGAAAAGCCCTTGAAGCTCCTCCAGTCCAACCATGATCCTCACCCTGACCGTTCCCAACTCCACCAGATCCCTCAGCGCTGGGTCAGCCCGACTCTTCAACCCCTCCAGGGATCCCGGGGACTCCCCCCCTGCCCTGGGCAGCCCATTCCAACGCCCAGCAGCCCCTTCTGCACAGAAATCCTTCCTCAGAGCCAGCCTGACCCTGCCCTGGGCAGCTTGAGGCCATTCCCTCGGGGCCTGGCGCTGGCTCCTTGGCTCCAGAGACTCATCCCCCCTCTCTGCCCCCTCCTGGCAGGGAGCTGCAGCCTCAGCCTCCTCTTCTCCAGACTAAACCCCCTAGTTCCCTCAGCCACTCCCCAGCAGACCTGTGCTCCAGACCCTGCCCCAGCTCCGTTGCCCTTCTCTGGACACGCTCGAGTCATTCAATGGCCTTTTTGGGGTGAGGGTTCAACCTACTGGAGTGACTTGCTCAAACCCATCACTTCTTACTTTAGAGCAACGAAGGCCACACTGGAGTAGATTGTCTTGCCTTTGGAAACATGCTTGTTCCTACAATGAAACTTGAAGTTTCACGTATCTGCTGTGATCAGGACAAACATCTTTATGCCATCCACAAAGCTAAACTGCAGCAGTTTGGACCAAAGAGGTCTGAGACATACTCAGGAGGTCACATCTCTGCTACCGATAAGCCACAAGAGACCACACTGCCCCAAACCCCTGCTGGTTCTCACTCTCAAATGAAGGAGCAGAGCGAGGCCACGCACCCCTCTGTAAGATGAAAAGCAGCACAAACCCTCCCACAGGTGGGAGGGAAAACGCTCCTCTCCAAGCTTCAGCCCAGCAGCAGAAAGCATCAACATGGGCAGCACCACAAGGGAAAATTCTTGCATAGTTCAGAAAGCTAAAAAAACTTTATGCGTAACACCATCCTAGAAGTGTGGTGTTGCTGGTCCTGAGGTCTCTGGAGGAAGGTCTGTGCCACTTGGCCTTCAGCTGTGTTAAGAAAATGTTACCAGCAGAGACCAATATCTACATCCATGGGAAAAGCTGGAAGTGAAATACCAAAGGCAGCTTTAACTCAATTTTCACCAGGACCAGCGGTCAAGGGTTGGTAACTGGTGACACCAGAGCAGTCCAGAGAGCAGCATCTACTTGGCACTCAATTTTATACACTTAGTAGGATGAAGCGTAACAGGGAAGAGTAACAAAAGCAAATCTGCTCCCACACCGGCACTTAAAGCCTTACACTCTCACACCAGCTTCATTCTGGTGAATATTTCAGGTGCATCCAGTTGCTTCTAAAATAAATAAAATCCACAATCAACCATCCAACACCTCCTGCATCATTGCTGCTGGCACCCTTTCCCGACGTCAAAGCAGCCTCTGCAATAACTGATGCCAATGGGATGCCGAAAATTTCTGCCTGCCTGTGTGTGCTGGCTAAGGACAAGTGATAAAAATCAGAAGGAGGGTTTTTAACACCTTTCCAAGTCCTCCATAGGCAAAAGAGTACAACAGGGAAAAACTGTTTGCTCCCAAACTAAGATTTAATGTTCACAAATCTCCCAAATTAAGATTCAGTGTTCAAGCTTAGCAAGTTGGCCCTTCTGCAATTAGTTCCTGCCCATCAACTGTTTCTGTCTCAACAGTGTAATCTGCCGGCTGGCTCCCAGCTCCCCCCAGGAATCATTTTGCACCCATGCAGTAAGCAGTGGATGACCTGGGTATGCCACAATGACCAGCCCAGAGTATTTCAGATGCACAACACAGCTGTGGAAGCTACTGGACAGGAAAGACACTTGTCCTGCACGTGCAGAGACAGATGCCTACCAGTATAACACTGCTCTGCAAACACCCCGGCTGAAGAGAGAGGATGCAGCTGCTCTACAAGAGGTCTCGCTCCATGTGACACTCACCCCCCAGAGATGCTCCTCTGCTACAGCCCCACAATACGTTCAAGGAGTAAAACCAAATAAACCTCATCTGTTACCAAAGAGTTTCTTTCTTCCAGCTTATAAATGTCAATAAAAAGTTGCTCCAACCTACCAGAGCCCATGAGATCCCCCAGCAAGAAGCTGAGTTGCTGGAGAGGATTCAAGAAATGACCCAGCCTGGAAAACCCAGCACATCTGAATGTATTTAAGCCAAAGAAAGATCCAGAGGTAACTTGAACACTGCCTGCAAACACTGCAGCCGGTGGAGCTACCTGGATGAGGATCTGGGCTTGAGATAACAAATGCAAGACAGATAAAATGCATTCAAAAGAAACAGAAGACAAAGTTGTTTTGAAGGTGGACAGTTGTCTGGTTGCTACAAAATGAACTGATGCTCCATCATTTGAGATCTTCAAATTAAAAGACAGCTGCTCTGCTTAACGTTATTGGACCCAACGATGAAACTCTGGGTGAAATCCAATCTCCTGTATCACGGTCAAACTAGATTACGACAAGCGTCGCTTCTGAGACAGTCTAGCTACTGCAACTTCTCCTTCCTTTAAAACAACTTCACACAAGAGTTAAAAATAGATTGTTTACATCGTAAAGCATCTAAAACCACAGCCCCATTACAAATAAGCCCCTGTCATCATCACTTCACATATAGCTTAAAGCAAGAGAACACCAAAGGCTGATACTCAGGCGTGATTTTTCATTCCTTTCCGTTTCATGTGGGTTCGCAGCATTCACTTTTCCCCTTTGTCCTCATGTTCTCCAAGTGTTTAACCAGCATCTTCAAGGTATTTATTTTTTCTTTGAAAAACAAACACCACACTTTGCAGACAACCACAACTCAGCAGAAACCTCCAGTCACCCGTCTGGGGTGAGGAGGAGGT